ACGCGTTTCAGAAAGGCGGGGCATAGAGGAGAAACAATAATGTAGAGTATGGGGAAAATAATGTGTTTTTTTAACCTTAAAGCGCATAAACACATTTCATTACACCAAATACACAAAATAATGTTCTTTTTAGCAACATCATATGACTCCTTTAAGCAATTTACAGCCAGATTCTGGAAGATAAATTCTTCAAACAGTGGTACAAGAGGATGTGGTGCTGGTCCTTCAAGAGTCACTCTCAACTTATCTGTCTATAAAGCCTAAAAAAAAACAGTCTTCAAGTACTTTACTACACTTCAGTATGTGATTCTTATGAAAGGCAGGGTAAGTGATTTCTGGTAGCCAAAGTTGACATTTGAAATCACCAAAACAAACACGCCCCTACCCCAAAAGGGTCTCGCCCCTATTTTGATAGGTAATTTTTTTTAGGATTTTATACTTAACCTAAGTCTCTGAGAACCTGACACCTTGTACTTTTGGAGACTCCAGTTAGGTTGCAGTTCTGGAAAATGGTTCCTGGTGATTTCACACCTAATTCTTCACCTTAATTCCTAATTCTTTTGCAGTGAACAATAATCTTTTCTTCTCCACATGTTTTTGACTGACCCAGCTGACCCACTGAGCATTTTGCTGTCCAATGGTTATGCATTAACTTTGCAATTTCTAGTATTGCATTAGTTTTGAATATTTCTCATGGACATTTAATAATTTTTGACTTTCAGTTTGAGTTAAATCTCTTTTTTGGCTCAATTTATCTGTAAAAGAAAATCTGTTTAATAATTATGCACACCTGAATATAAGACATTTTTCACTTTCATGAATAATTATATATTAATTATAAATGATTAAATACAAGATCAATAGTACTTATTAAGATTGATGTATTTTGGATTCAGAATATCAACTTATACTGTATATGCACTGTATTTTTCCTCTTCTGCTGTCATGGTAATGCAAGGAATGTTGTGACTGGTTGTCAAGGCAGCCAATCAGAATTTAGCAGCCCCGTCTCTGATTGGCTGGAATTATGGCATACTGTAACGCTGGGTTGTGTTGAGCAAAGCGAGCCGTTGGCATTTAGAGAGCACTGAGGTCGGGCATCAAGGGAGCAATCTAGTGAAACATTGCACACGCAAAAGAGAAGACTGCACAAATCCAAAAACTTATTTTAAATGCAAAATTGATTTTCGTGCGCTCAAAATACTTTCTTCTTTCAAACATTTTCTCCACAAAACTCAGTTTGCGCGTGCAAAACGCACTTTTGCGCGCTCAAACAATGATATTTGCGCGTAGAATTGTGGCAGAGATCTTATCCCATAGGGCCTCATTTATAATTTTTCTGTTTTATTAAGCTTTGACTGCTAGTGGACAACTGACAATAGGTGATGTTTTTATTAGTTCATTATTTATTTGTTTCTGAGTACCATTATTCATGAGTA